ACTAGGTGTGTTATATAATCCATTTGAACTAAACCAAACCGATGTAATTGGTCTGAAAATCAAACCATATTTCCATATAATTTAAGGGAATTCATTTTTTGGACATGCGAAAAAATATCGGAAAATTGGTTTGAATAACCCAAAAAAAATCTATAATCAAAAATCTAACCATTTAACCTAAATCTAATGGATTAGGCCACATATGTTAATTTTTGTTAGATCCCTAATTATTTTTTATTATTTTTTTGCTATAGAGCAAATTAATCCAAAAATATAATTCGATCAAAAAAGAAAACAACCGATTTTTTTTTTTTGAGAATCTAAGAATATTTAATCAAAATCCGACTTCAAACCAAAGCTGAAACTGTACTAAACCATATATAATAGACTGAAAAAACGGAAGAAGGTCGAACCGAAATCGAACCAAACTCCGGATACCATAAACCGGCAGGAAATTAGAACCACAACGGAAAATTGACTCGGTTTACAATCATAAACCCAACAAGTCATAAACCCTTTTCTTCTCCATCTCCCCCTTTAAACTCGCCGGGAAAAACCAAATCATCTCTCGCCGACAACTCCGAATTCTCAACCCATCTCCCAAATTCGCTTAATTTTCTCCGGAAACGAAAAGGGAATCTCCCGGAATTCCCCAATTGGCAAACCCTAATCCCCAAATTCCATGATCTGTAGATGGATTGCATTCAATTCAAGCAAAGTGTCTCGTATTCTTCCTTCTCTCTCTTCCCTCTTACTCACTAACTCCTCCTTCTCCGTCGCGAAACTCGACGATGAGCCATTGTCCATTACCAATTTCACTTCCGTTCACAGAGATTGCTTCTCTAAGGAGATTCTCTTTGGTATGAAGAAGGTTGGGTTCCGGGAGTTTCTTCACGGGAATCACTTTCGAGGTTTGGTTTCGGATTTGAGTCAATTTCATGTCGAAGAAATCATGGGTGAATTGATGTCTGAAAGCCCAGATCTTTCGGTTTGGTTTTTCAAAGAGCTGAAAGATGTTTATGGGTTTCGCCATTCGAGGTTCTCCGCATTGTTGGTTTCGCATGTATTAGCCGGTCAAAGACGTTTCAAAGAGCTTCAAGTGATTCTCGAACAGCTTCTCCAAGAAGAAGGTAAGTCTTCACTTTTTATATAGAGATAATTGTTATATGAATCGGTTTTACTGAGAACTTATATAGAGCTATGGCTGAAGTAGGTGGAGATGAATAGAGAAAAGAGGGAACTTAAGAGTTTTTATGTAGAAACTTTATCTCTGTTGTTGGTACATTGTTTCGTTTCCTGAATATGATTTATTGCATTGTTTTTAGGCTCTGGTTCAGCATCTTTGCTTTGTGAGATTCTCTCTAGTAGCTTCAGAGAATGGGATTCTACGGGAGTTGTTTGGGATATGTTGTTGTTTCTTACGTCGAGATCTAAAATGGTTGATGATTCCCTGTATATCCTGGAAAGGATGAAGGATCTGAATTTGAATGTGTCGACACAAGCATACAACTCTATTTTGTATAATTTCAGAGAAACAGATAAGATGTGGGATGTGTACACAGAAATCCATGCTAAGAACGAGCACACATACTCAACAGTTGTAGATGGTTTGTGTAGGCAGCAAAAGGTAGAAGATGCAGTTTTGTTCCTCCGAGCTAAAGAGTGGAAGGATATTGGCCCCTCTGTAGTTTCTTTCAATAGTATAATGTCAGCTTACTGTAAATTGGGTTTTGTAGATATGGCGAAGTCGTTTTTCTGTACAGTTTTGAAATGTGGATTGGTTCCTAGTGTATATAGTCACAATATACTCATCAACGGACTCTGTCTAGTTGGTTCTATAGAAGAAGCTTTAGAATTTTCTGGTGATATGAATAAGCATGGAGTGGAACCTGATACTGTGACATACAATATTCTTGCGAAAGGGTTTCATCTTCTCGGTATGATCAGTTGGGTTTGGGAGGTCATTCAACAAATGCTGGATAAAGGGTTGAGTCCTGATGTTATCACATATACGATATTATTATGCGGGCATTGCCAGTTAGGAAACATTGACAAGGGTTTAAGATTGCTGAAGGATATGTTGTCTAGGGGATTTGAGTTAAGCAGTATCATCCCCTGCAGTGTAATTCTCAGTGGTTTATGTAAAACAGGACGAATCGGTGAAGCATTGTCGTTATTCTATGAAATGAAAGCCAATGGTCTCAGACCTGATCTTGTGGCATATTCTATTGTGATTCATGGCCTCTGCAGATTAGGAGAATTTGATATGGCTGTTTCGCTTTACGACGAAATGTGTTCCAAAAGAATTCTTCCGAATTCTAGGACCCTTGGTGCTATTTTGCTCGGTTTATGTCAGAAAGGGATGCTAGTCGAGGCAAGAGCGTTTCTGGATTCTCTGGTTTCAACTGGCTACACACTGGATATTATTCTGTACAATATCGTTATTGACGGGTATGCAAAGTCTGGTTGCATTGAGGCGGCGTTAGAGCTATTCAGGGTAGTGACTGAGAATGGGATAACTCCTAGTGTTGCAACTTTCAATTCTTTGATTTACGGGTATTGTAAGACTCGGAATATAGCTGAAGGTAGAAAAATCTTGGATGTCATCAAGTTATATGGATTGGTTCCAAGCGCTGTGAGTTATACAACTCTGATGAATGCATATGCTAACTGTGGAAATACTGAAAGCGTAGATGAACTGCGCCGGGAAATGAAAGCAAAAGGAATCCCACCAACAACTTTCACTTACTCGGTGATTATTAAAGGACTTTGCAAAGGTCAGAAGCTCGAAAAATGCAACCAGGTATTCAGGGACATGGTTGCTGAAGGTATAACTCCAGATCAGATCACTTACAATACTATCATTCAGTCTCTATGCAGAGCTAAACATTTATCCCGAGCATTTCAGTTATTCGAAGAAATGAAATCTCGAAATCTTGACCCTACCCCTGCCACTTATAATATTCTAATCGACGGCCTTTGTTTCTACGGTTACATAAAGGAAGCTGACAGGTTTCTCTCTTCGCTACAGGAGCGGGATGTTAATCTATCAAAATTCGCTTATACCACATTGATCAAGGCACATTGCGTAAAGGGTGATCCTGAAACGGCAGTGAAGCTCTTTCTTCAGCTGCTCGACAGAGGATTCGATGTTTCCGTCAGGGATTATAGCGCGGTGATCAATCGTCTGTGTAGGAGACATTTAACAAACAAGACTAAATTCTTCTTCTGTCTAATGTTATCCCGGGGTGTTTCGCCTGACTTAGACATCTGTAGAGTAATGATCAAGTCATCAGATGCGCTTGCTTGGACAATCAAATCGGGTTTGTTGCCTCATCAGTAATTAGCAAAAGTTTGGTCTGTTGTCCGACCTTATCAATTAGCTGGACAAGGCACACTTTTGGTAGAGAAATTGTCACATGTGGTAACTGTTATTAGTATACTGTTAATGTAAAAAAAAAGAAAAGTTGCTTAGTTAATTATCGAAAAAATTGTATAAATAACATCCAAATTCCAAAGTATCTACTACTAGCATTCTTGGTTTTAGAAAGAAAGCGCGCCTGAGGTGCGCCTAGGCTCAAGGCGAGTTTAAGAAATAGACGCGCCAAACTATTTTTTAAGAAGGTTTCCTACTTGTTTCGAAAGGTGTTTAGGAAGTCTCTTTTAAACAAGTGAAAATCTTTCCTAAACTTTTTTTTAAGAGGGTTTTTTACTTATTTAGGAAAGTCTTCCTAAACAAGTGAAAATCTTTCATAATTTTTTTTTAAGAAGGTTTCCTACTTGTTTAGGAAGATGTTTAGCAAAATCTTCTTAAACAAGTGATAATCCTTCCTAAACTTTTTTTAGGAAAGTTTCATATCTGTTGAAGAAGGTATTTAGGAAAGCCATCTTAAACAAGTGAAAATGTTTCATAAACTATTTTTTAAGAAGGTTTCCTACTTGTTTAGGAAGGCCTTCCTAAACAAATGAAAATCTTTCATAAATTTTGTTTGAAGAAGGTTTTCTACTTGTTTAGAAATGTGTTTAGGAAAACTTTCCTAAACAAGTGAAAATCCTTCAGAAACTTTTTTTTTTAAGAGGGTTTTCTATTTGTTTAGGAAGATGTTTAGGAAAACCTTCCAAAACAAGTGAAAATCCTTCCTAACCTTTTTTTTAAGAAGTTTTCCTACTTTTTTAGGAAGGTGTTTAGGAAAAACTTTCCTAAACTATTTTTTAAGAAATATTCCTACTTTTTTATGAAAGTGTTCAAGAAAGTTTTTCTAAACAAGTGAAAATCCTTCCTCAAAGTAATAATGTTTGTCACTCACACAATAAACTTTTATTATGATAGTTAAAACTGAATAAATTCTCAAACTTATTTTTTGGTTTGCGCTACATTTTAAGTGATAGAATAGTTAACTCCGCTAAAGAAACCGATTCTTTTTGTGATAGAAAAAATAGTGAATTTTTTTGTAGAAAATAATTATATATTTATTACAAAGAGAGATCACGAACCAGAGATTTTTACTATTTTGTGAAGTAAAACAGAAATGTACATCACAATTTTTCGAGAAACAATAAGTTTTTAACGGATTAACGGAGCTAGCTATTTCGTCATCTAAATATCGACACGCACAAAAAAATTAGTTTAAGGATTTATTTAGTTAAAATTCTCACATTAAAATTTAATTGTGTAAGTGACAAACCTTATCGTTTAAAGTGCTATTGTTGGTTTATATTTTTGAGTTTTTATGTCATTTTCCCGTTAATTATCTCACACTTTCTTCTTTTTTCTTAGTGATCCATTTAACAGATCAATTTTAGCTACTGGATGAGTATCATGAGACACCAGTTATATTGTATCACATTAATTTCTTGAAGGATCGCGATAAGTGATGTTTCTTTACCATTTGCATAATGCTTGTAGTGATACTTCCCATGATCTCTTTCTCCAGAAACAACACTAAGAACTGATCAAGCTACACTCTAAAAAATATATTCTCATTCCTAATGTCATGAAAGTCAAATTTTTTCTATTTTTATAAGAACTGTGAGTTCTCAAACACCATCAGACATCCACAAGAATGTAGAAGTCACATAACTTGGCTATATCATAAT